GGACGTTCGAATTCGGCTATGGACGTTTTGATCCTCAAATGGATCTAAGATGAACGTCCATTGAACTATGTGTGCTGTTTGGGAAGTAATGTTGCCTCCACTTTGTCCAGTTAAGCGTTGTTACAACCTCAATCTCCTCCAATTCATATCAAGACAGTGGCTTAACTACGTTTGCCTATGCCGAGTCCTATACCTATCTCTATACTTCTGCTTCCATCACTTTCTATTCTCTGGTCTTTTGCTATTCATGGTGCTTATTAGTAGCTAACTAAAGGTACCAATTTGTCAGTTAAAATTAGATACTAAAATGCCAATATATTTATTAACACTAATCCAATATTAGGACCTTATTTTTATTTACGAGTCGGCATGTTTTGGGACTTTAGGTAGGCAGTTAGACATCAGCATCATCGATCTAGCCTAAAACCTATTACGACTGTCGAATATCAGGCAAAAAAGAAATGGATTTACCTGGGTATCTCTCCGTCACAAACGTTTTACTCGAAGATTAATGGTACACAATTGAATTTTAAAACATTTATAGGAAGTAATGGCCCAAAATAGATTTTTCTTTCTGGTCAATTGGGGCCGTTGGAGAAAGGAGTTACTTAGAAAAAAATGTACCAACTCTACTTATTATAAAACAACTAGAAAGAGTAGCTTTGATTTTTTAAGTGAAGGTATAATAATAGCTATAATTTATAGTTAAAATTTGTATCACAAGAAAATAAAAGTGAAATGTTGATTTAACAGTTTTGTGGTATGTATCTATAAGTAATTATAGATAATTTTAAGTACCTACGTGCAATATATTTAACAAAGTATGTTAAAACCCACACAACACACCAAATCTCAGAGATATCCACAGAATATATTTTGTGGATATCCAATATATCCACAGGATATCAGAAATATCCCGTGGATATACAAATGTCCGTCTATATCCAGATTATAGAAGATACCTTATGGATATCCAGCAAAATATCTAATGGGTATCTCCCAGACAATACAAGAAATTCCAGAGATATCCACAGAATATATTTTGTGGATATCCAATATATCCACAAGATATTTTATAGATATCCAGTGGATATAATATGGATATCCAAATGTCCGTCTATATCCAGGATATAGAAGATATTCTAAGGAGATTCAGCAACATATTTTATGGGTATCTTTAGTAGAGGTTCATAAGTAACCAATGGATATATCCTAAAAATTAAAAAAGGAAATAATTCCAAATTCAAATGAATCGGTTTTGTCCTTATAAGGACTCTTCTGCAATAAATAGACATTTCGACTCCAGTCTTTAATGGAGTCTGATTGCAATACCAATTTCGGTCGAACTCAATTACGGCGGGTTAAGCATGAGTACTATTAACCACAATGGCGTAATTTTTTAATAATTTGCTATATAATTACTATCATTTATCATGGATATAAAATAGATATCCACCATGGACTGGACATTCAGTGGATATTGGGATGTCCAGTACATATCCAAAGGATTTGGTGTGCTGTCTGGGAAGTGTGACAATAATAAAGACCATTTTAAAGGATTCTATAGAACAACAAGATCAACAATAATATTTGCTTTTGTTTTTTGTACTTTTCTTTATACACCTCTACGTTAATTTTGTTATTTTTATTTTTATATTTTCTATTGTAAATAATTTATTGGGAGATCTTGTTGAAAATAAACACATTATTATTATAAGGTTTATAAGGTTTTCTATCATGTAGGTGTGGATATAAATAACAAGTCACTGTATCCTACAATTAAAGTATCAGTTTTGTCAAATACGTCAGTACCATTACAATAGAAGAATATAATATACTTTATTGTTTTGCTACAATAAACGCTAACAGTTATTATCATTGTCTATATCTAAAATATAATGTGTACATTTATATTTACATTAAAAAAAGGTTTGGTGACGTTAAGTTAGTCAGATTAGTTAAAATGATTTAAATTAATGTTGTATATAATGGGAAACTTATTTTATGTTGTAAAGGTTGTATTCAAAACAGCCTAATTTTTTTTTGAAATTACTTTCTTTAAAAATTTTAAAATGTGGAGGAAGCAGGGTCGCTATGTCGGGCCCATGCGCGAAACACTGACAATGTCCTCGGAGATTTTGCCCCCTGCCCTTCCCTCTCGCTGGACCTGGGAGGAAGCCTATTATTTAGTCTGATAGAGTTACATGTAAAACATTTATCAGTTAGTGTTCGAACAGCCCCATGCAATGGAGATGCTTCTGTACTTGGCAATGAGCAGTGAGAATGCCAGTGATCAGGCGCAGATCTAACTAGTCATAGTCAAGTATTTGTTTGCTGTAATGTTGTCAGGATAATTTAAAAGTTTCCTGGCAACTCTGCAGCTTCTTGTTTCATTCCATCTTTCCTTGAATTTCAAGAGGAAATGTTTTTTAATTAGGCTTATTTCTACAGATATTGTCAGTCCAATAGAAAGGCCAGGTCCAAAAAGTTTGGTTGGCTGCCTTCTTGGTTAGCTGCCTTCTTGGCTAGGGAATCAGCAAGGCGGTTACTTATTTCGATGTGGCGTGATCTTTAATCCATCTTAAGGTGACCACATTGTTGATGAAAACTTCGTGACATTCTAGTACTAACCTTAAGTAAATTTGTAGTCTGTCCAGAACGAGTAATGCTTCTCTGCTATCTGTATAGATGAGCATGTTCATTCCAGTGATATTGTTTCTGGTAACTTCTTTTGTTGCTATGAAAATCCCTGTGAACTCTGTTTGAACTACACTATAACTATTAAGGATCTGGAGTATATTCCACATCCTGAGCCTTGTTTTGTTTTAGAACCGTAGGTGTAGACATGAATCGTACTTTCCACTCTTCGGTTCTTATATTTGTTCTGTTATAACTTTATATGGGTTATGGAAGATATATATCGGTGAGATCTTACATCCGATTCTATTGCAAACGTTCGGAGTCGTATCATTGTCATCAAAGCAACCTCTTAGGTGCAAATATTAAGAGGACTTGAACTAAGAATGACTTCCATGATGAAACATAGGAACTTTTCTTTGAATTTGTAGTAGATTGCTGATAGCTATCAATTTTAGAGTTTTCGGTACCCAGACACCTCCACCGTGTGTTACCGTCCATGCAACGAGTCTAGAGGAGAGACTGCAATAAACAGTATAATTCACAGATATATAGAAGTGTCAATATTTTGTCTTCTTCTGAATAATGGTCTACATGGACTTTTTGTTATTACACATATTGTAGCTTTCTGTATTTTCAATATATTTTTTAATTTTATAGAATTTCCCTACAGCAGTATCCGATACGATAACTGGTTGAAAAAAAAACCCATATAGGCAGGTCTACAGACTTCGTTTGTAACGTACCACGATAATTTTCTGAGTAGAAATAACACGCTTAATAATTTTTTTGATAGACCTTCAATATTTTGTTTCCAATCGAGTTTGTTATCTAATCTGATGCCTAAAAATATTGTAGAAGTTATTAATATAAATTTTAACTAACTAATGACATCAGTTTCACCGCGTTGAGATACGGATATTATTGAACACTCTGTATTATGTGAAGTTGAGTATGTTTCTATCCCAATAAACACAGTCTATCGGCACCGTAACTGGATCGAAGGAGGCTTGCCGCATGCCGGACTCGGCCCGATATACGGGTGCAACTTCGGCATATAGGTAGAGCATGTTCGCCCAGCCGAATGTCGGCAGCTTACTAAATTGTAACCGCGTTCATATATCTATATATAATTCGGCCCGTAAGGATGCCTCCCATGCTTGTCTAACCAATTATTCATCGCGTTCGGCCCGTAAATCCGGGTTCAGATCAATAAATTTGCGTGTGTTGAATGTTGTGTGTTCAATTCGACAAAAATATTTGCGGCGCAAATATTTTTTATTGTGATTTTGTTGCGCAAATATGTGCGTTGTGTTGGTGTATCTATTGCGATCCATTTTCGGGCATCGTGCGTAGCAATAATTTGTAATTGAAATAATAGTACAAACCAAAAAATATATTCAAGTCCACATTAAAACAAGCACTCGAGGGTCGTTCGACGCAAATATCTTTGTAGTTGGCAGAAAAACCGACAGACCGGTAGATAGCGTGTGTTGTATCTGGCGCAAATATTTGCGTGTTTCTTTATGTGGCGCACAGTCCACATCTAGAAATATTTTGACAAATACGAGCAAATTTGCATCAAATACAACGCACAATGTAAATATTTATTGATCTGTATCCGGCTTAAGAATGACTCCCATATTTGGAACGCCAAATATGGACTATATGCGGTTTCTACTTCTAAATTACGTCAAATTGTACGGTCCTTCCGACTCAGAAGAAATGCCCACAACGGCAATCCGAGTACTCGGCTTCCCGTACATGCCAGTACCAGGCCGAGCGAATGCCGACTATTTGTGGTTTACTGGGATTTGATTTATTTCAAGGTTCTTAAATTTAGCTGTACTTTAATTATTTAATTTTTATCATAATTTTATAAAAAAAATTAACAAATATACCCGTGAAATGGTTGCTAGGGAATAAGAAATTGATGGTTGAATCTGATAATTAGATAAATTAATTTGCCAGTTACATACTGAAAGGCACTTTTAATAATAAAATTGAATACAAATATGTCAGTTAACTTGAATGAATCCCACTAGAATTTCGAGTAGTTACAGAAATAGCCTCCGGGAAAATCTTACGAAGCGTAATACATGACATTTGCCGGTAAGAAAGTGTATGCTAACCGCGAAAATTACTTTCCCAGCTAGCTGGGAAAGTGTAATAAACAATAAGTCGCTTCTAGACTGTTTCGAAGGACGCAAAACCACAGATTACTTGCCGATTTTTAAGTAAAATGAAGTTTATATTCCCTTGTTTTTCGTACCTTCGGTGCGCCGTATGCTCCGCCTATGCGATCGAAGACAGCAGTTAATTGTCCGTAGCGCGGTGCGGCAATGCTATTCTGCTCTCCCCACCTAAAGCCAGTCCCAGAATGGCGTGGTTTGTGCTCCGTTCGCCCAGCCTGTAATTCGGAATTTAGGCCGTTGTTGGGTGTCTTGTACTAAAATTTTCACGCCCAATAGCCAAATTGTCTAATTAACAGTGCCCAATAGTCTAATTTAATAATAATTAGTTAAAGAATAAGGTGAAAAGTGACAAAGGAGCATCGATTGACGTAGCCAGTGCGTGCTGTCAGCCCGCTTCACACTGCAACACACGAATTTAACAATGCAACTGACATTTTCGGAATTAGTGGTAAATAATGACATCTGAAGTGCAAGAAGTTCGTGTAGAATACGTTGAAAATTCCCCGCAGGTGAGTTTTTCTTAGTTTTCTGCCGATTTTGTGGCCTACTCAGCGCAAGAAAATCTAACAGGGGCGGTCGCATACCAGTGGCTCTGTGGGAGTTGCTTTGTCCCTGTTTAGTTTAGATTGGAGGTTGAACCTTGCCTGGTTTAGAGGTCGGGGATCATCCTTGGCACTCTTGATATTAAATTAGTGGATGGGTGTGCTTTTTTGGAACCCGATGTCCAATAATAGTCATTACGGACCACGACCCACCTTATAATTTACCTTTAGTCAACAAACAACAACAGGGTTTAACCTATAAACAAAATTCATAAACCTAAGATCATAACTTATAGGTTATTTTATAAAATTTACATATCATAATTTAACATTTATTTACTTTAAATTATATTGTTTTTAAATACAAAGCTAGGGTATATGAAATAATTTATCAATTAAAAGTAACTGTAAACTTAATAGAAATAAAATTAAGGGATTCAAATCAGTGTAAATTATTATTATTTGTCGTGTTGTAATTTGCATTGGTGGAATTCGCGAGAATTTAAAAGGTGGGTATTTGGCTAATATTCGCGTTGTCAAATGAGGTATCCGAACCCCCTAAACCCTCCCTTAAATACGTCGGTGCTGCTTTAGATATCTTAAAAATTACATACCTACTCATTTTATACAAGAGGACCTATCAAGGGCAGTTATCCACCCCCCCAGATGGAAATTCTTATAATACATGTGCCTTATGCGAAAAAGGGAATGGTTAATGATCATTTATTTTTTTTTTCTTCAAAACTCAACATATAAGTTTATGCCTTGAATTAAAAATGTAATAAATTTAGTTTTAAAATACAATGGGGTCTATTCTGTAACAATTCCTTTATATTTAACGGCCTTTAAAAATATCGGCGACCTTTAAAAATATGTTTGTATTCGTTAATTTACTTCTGTCATTATTTAAACAGATTTCTTTAAGATAGTCCTCTAATGTATTTTAAAGATCCGTTTAAATAATGACAGAAGTAAAGAAGAAAATATTTTTAAAGGCCTTTAAATATAAAGGAATTGTTACAGAATAGACCCCAAAGGCCTCTAAATTTTAACGGATGTGTTACAGAATAGCCCTCATTGTTGCTAAACGGATTCTGATCCAAGAGCACTTGCGAGACAATATGGCCACTCGAGCAATCTATATAATTCTATATATATCATTGACCCTGTCAAAATCCTTCGGCAACTATTTGGATAATATGTCGTTTGAATGTCTAACACGAGTCATGCTTGTGATAACTACACACACCTTTGAATAAAATTCAATTTAATTTAGTAAAATAGAAGAATAATTGAAGAGTGGAAGTACCAAATTAACAAATATAAGATAATTAAGAAAACAAGTTTATTAAGTGTATCTTTTTTTTACTTTTTAAGGGCCACCTTATGTTAATTCACATAATCTTAGAAATTATATGGCACTTAGAACCTTTGTGGATACATTGGTGATGGTATTTAAACCGTTTTAAGCACATACCTACCCAGAAAATTTAGATTTTGATACTTCTACTCTTCAATTGTAAGCTTCGACATTCGTAATTATTTCCAGTGTACCTAGGTATAAATAAACTTTGATTCACTAAATTTTTTTATATAAAAAAACAGAATATTATAGGTACACTTCCTTATGAAGAATGCAAAATATAAATACCAATGTATACCTATCTGGTTATTTTAAATTTTGTTTTCTACCTAAATATTTTGCTTTTATCGACCAGGGCCTTACCTACCTACGTACCTACCTACCTGGAAATTAAAGGGGGATGTTTTGAAATGTAAATTTAGCTAGGTACTCAAATAACAATTAAAAGCTGATTTCAACTAGGTAGGTATAAAAACAGGCTTTAGTTATTTTAAAAGCCAGCAAGGTAAAAAGTCAAATACATTTTATTAATAAATGTGGATAGAAATGTTTAATTTAAGAAATTTATCTTAATAAGTACTTATGTTATTTAAAACATACATACAGCGTGATTCATTTGAAAGCAGGCCACCTTCGTAATTTTTTTATTTATTGAGCGATTTTGACGAATTTTTCTTTTTTAAATGTGGAGGGTGGAAATGTGTATTTTGGTGCCAAGCGGCGCCCAGTTTTTTTTTTAAACCAAGGCTTATTTATTAATTTTTGTTATCGCATGGATTAAGTAGGTACTAGATAAAAAGCTTCATAATGCATAATAAACAACTTGTCAATAATTTAGTCACAGAATCGTTATTGTTGAATCTTTTTTCATGAAACTTGGTATAGATATATTTCAGATGATGCCGATTCCAGTGGCGTACGAGAATATTTTCTAAATGGGTCACTCTGTATATATGCGAATATTTATGGGTGTAAATCTACATGAAAAATTCGTTTTAGTTCTATAAACTATGATCGAAATGCAATTTTTTCCATTCTTCAATAATTACAGTAATTTTTTTTCGGAAAATAGGTTCAACAGTATTAATTTTGTTATTCAACAAATCAGAGTAACGTAGGAAACAAATCAGGAGATCCTTTATGTTTAAAATTGAACGGGGAATTTAAAAATAATTTTTATTAGGGAAAAAAAAACCATTGGCTTACCATTTTTTCTTTAAAAATATTTAGGCTAGTGCCCGTACGCATGCCACTTGAAAAATATGCACCATTATTAACTGTCACTGAATATTAAATATCACTGATTTAATAAATTCACTTTATCACCAAGGGCGGCTCCAGGGGGCTATGGGGGCCATGACCCCCCCCCCCCCGAAAATTCGTCTTTATGTCGCCCTTGTTTATCACTCTATAGAATGAAAACTGGGGCGTTTATAAAAAAAATATATTTAGCTTTTCTTAATAATTAGTAAAGATCTATAATTTATAATCATCCAGTTTAAGGTACTCTGAAACACCCTGTATATAGAATACATAGTGATTTACAAGAAAAAAATGTAAATTTGAAGTATCTACCTATCACAGATTTTTTAAATACTCTGGATAATAAAAAGATAGTGCCGCTATGCCAAACAAATTTAAATCAAAAGACTTACCTTTTGAAGCAGCTTATCCCATCTGAAACAACGTATAAATATATTAATAAAAACAAAATTAACCATAAATTCAGTAAAATTTAAAATTAATAATTGTTTATAGAAGCTAAATTTAAATCAAAACACTCACCATTTGAAGCCGCTCATTCCTCCTTCACATTCTGTTCCATTCTTACGCCTTCTCCATAATATCCATTATTTCACTATTTTCCCGATTAAATCGCGTCCGGACAAATCTTCTAATCCCGACGACATTAATGATCATCGTATCATGCTCAATTCTATAGCAACCCTTTGATACGTAGACGTATCTCCGGGTAGTATATCTGCAGCCTCGTCCATTTGACCTTGGAAGGTACATCCGAGGACATACATTCCAAGATGAAACGTCTTTATTGTCAGAGATGAAATAAACATGAGCTCAGACCATTGACATCGTGCTACCGATCAACTAGAGAAATTTGCGGCGGTTTAAAATTTTCTTTACGGCGATTTAAACTTTTCTTTACGGTTATTCGCTGAAAAGAAACAAAAATAATTATTAGGAAATTTTGAAAATGTCAAAAAAAGGTGAAGGAACTTAAAAAGACAGCTCTGTAGTTAAGCATGTACCTATCTACAAAAAAAAATATTCTTATACAGATGAATATACTTATATAAAAAATTAATAATGGTCCAAAAATTTTCGCTCGACTTTTTATGAATAATAATATTAATAATAAAAAAGTTTTTCATATGCCGCCAATTTATGTAGACAGACAAAGTCAATTTAGTTTTTCAGTTTAAAAAAATAACTAAAATTAGTAGTTCTCCAATTTAACGCCCAGTATCTCTAAAAGTGGCCATAGCATAGGATTTAAAATTCATAAAAAGGTGATAAAAGTATTAAAAACTGAAAAAATGGTTACATTTGATTGACGAAATTTTAGAATACATGGATTTTTGTATTTTTCTAAAAATGGAATATCTTCTAACAAATAAATCACCTTGTATATTTTGAAGCTTATTTAAGTGTTATTACCTTTCCTAAAAATCAATTCATAAATACAGGGTTATGAATTAATCATTGAAAAAAATAATTTTTTGTTGTGGTTGTCTCTATAGAACACCCTGTATGAGAAATGTGTATTGCATAATATTTTGTCGACAAAATATCATATTGTGTAGTATTTTTAAAAAACAGCAAAATTGGTCATATTTTGCAAAAACTACCATCATATATTTGTAAATCACCCTGTAACTAAAAAATAGTTTTAATTGTAAGTAGGTACTAATGTATTAATAACACATGTAGTAAACGTGTGTATGTAATAGAAATTCAATCTAACTTATAAGTTTGAAAATAAAAATTCCGAAAAACTAGGCAATTTTCAATTTTAACACCCTATATATCGAAAAGTTGTCATAGGATTGAGTTGAGCTTATTAACACTTTTGGTTACTAGGTTAAGTACAATAACAGTTTCAGAACATTTGACAGGTTGCTACTTTAGATAAGTAAAATGCACGGGTAAAATGTACACTGAGAAAAATATAGCTCTTTCGTAATAATCATATAACTTGGTTCAAATGATATGTAGAGGGTTTTTTACAGATTTCAATTGGGGAGGTTTCAATACATAACAAGCATAACCGTAATTAACTTTTGCTCCGTCTGAGGGGGTCCAATTTGGGGTGAAATGTAAAAAAAATCAAAGAAGCCACAAATGGCTTTGTATGCCTTTCTGCTTGGGATATGTTATGTAGTTTGCTATTTTTTTCATCCCTGATACCATTCTGGAATTTGTCGAGCCGTCTGAGAGGGTGCAATTGGGGGTGAAATTAAATAAAAAATCATAGAAGCAACAAATGGCTTTGTACACCTTTCTGCTTGGGATATGTTATGTAGTTTGCTCTTTTCTTCATCCCTAATACCATGCTGGAGTTTGAAAACTGATTTTGAAAACATAA